GGTAAGTGTTGAGTCAAGACAGCTGGAGGACTTTCTTTTTTAACAATCTGAGAACTAGTTCCCAATCTGGTGACCTAGGAAAATATGTAATAAAGTTACATATTTATATATATATGTTAATATATATAGTTGCCAAATATAGTGGTCAAAGAAGTCTGGAGGGTGAGTTACTTATGTGTTTCTACCTCCAGATAGGTTCCTTTACCAAAGATCAGTGTTTCTCCACAGCTGGTGACCCCAAACCACTTTGCTTTTCTTTTCAAGGCAGCTCTGGCTCAGTTGCCAAGTTACATGATACTCATATGATGGGATTTTCTGTCCCCTCTGTCCTAACCTCTTTCTCATTCATCTTGGGGGCTAAACTTCAGGACAAACAGGAGTGCACTCCTATGTTGCATAGAAATCCAAGCTTTTCTCGTGTTGCAATCTGACAGAATTTGTCCCCTGAATGAAAGAGAATAAGCTGGAAAGGAGTTTTTGTTTGTTTGTTTTTCAGGAGTAATGGAAGGTAGAACACCTTGTGACTCTCAACTTTGGGCAACACTTAGGTGGGATAAACCCTAGTGGTTATGTACTTTACTCATTCTAACCTTTAGGATTTCCCTTTATCCAGTCAGAGCTTTACATCATTGACAAGCACTGAGCAGCAGCCAGACTTTTTAGTTCAAAATAGAATTTGATTCTTCAGTCCACTTCAGTGATAGTATTCATGAATACCAAATTTTAGAAAGCTTTAGTGCCACACACACACTTAGAAGTGACAGTTAAATTAACTTCTGTCATATGTAAAAGTCAGAGTCTATGAGATTGCCTGTGTATTGTCACTAAAAAACCAAGCAGGGAATATGCACTTCCCTATCAGTTTTGAAACCATAAAGGACTGAGAATCACTAAAGTGGAGGGTGGTTCTCAGTTGTGGTGAAGTACAAAGATGTCAGAAGTTTTGACGCTGGTTTTTACTAAGCATGTAATCTTGGTCAACATCTTGAAGTTCAGTGAGCTCTATCTGCCTCCCTTATAAAATGAAGATAATATTTTCTGTATTGATGGGTTGTAAGATTAAATGAAAGGATACATATAAAGCATTCTGTAAACTAGAAAGCCCTGATATAGTTATTACAATGTTTGTTAGGTCTAGACTCAGAGAAAACAAGTTTTCTTGAAGCAGGGGGATGTAATTTTGCTAAGAGTAGAGCTCCCTCCTGGGAAGGACTAATGGGAGAGGTCACACACAAGGGAGAACAGAATCTTGCTTTGAGAAGAGGATAGTGTCCCTGCTTGGGGTTATGAGTGAAGACTGGAATCCAGGTTTCTGTCTCTCTCTTGGTCTTCTCTCTAAGTCAGGTATGACCTTCATTCATTCTCTAGTCTCCTCTCTCAAATATAAGCCACACTTCCCTACTCCCATTACCAACCTGACCTCATTTTCAAATTCATTCCCTGGCATTCTTTTCCCTCCAGCCACACAGTCTCCTGACACTTCTTCACACACTCCAGGGCACGGTGTCCCCTCAAGTGGAAGCGTTTTTTCTCCAGGTAGCTGCATGGCTAGCTCTGTTGCCTCCTCCAGTCTTACTCAAATGCTACCTCTCTAGTGAGGCCTCTGTGACTCCCTTATTTAAAATCACACAGTGCTCTGGGGTTTGGGCCACATACTTATGATCTTAGCTACTCAGGAGGTGGAGGCAGGAGGATGGAAAGTTGAGGCCAGTCTAGTCAAAGGTAGCCAGACCCCATCTCACAAACAAAATACAAAACAAATGACCAGGGTGTGGCTCACGTGGTATAGTGGTACCTAGGATGCATAGGGCCTGAGGCCACGGGATCAATCCCTTGCACTGCAATAAAACAACCAGAACCCCCAAAACAAAGCACAACAACAAAATAAAAAAGCCAAGTGTTTCACACTGCTCCTTTCTACTAGTACACTTCTCTGCTCTTATATTTCTTCACAGAGGCTATCATCATCATCACCTAAAATATTACTTATTTTACCCTCTTTTTTTTTTTTTTTTACCATCAGAGAAGAAGCTCCAACAAGGCATGGATTTCTGTCTCTTTTGCTCAAGCTGTTTCCTTTTACACCTAGACTAGCACTTGGCACACAGTGACAGTGACATGTCACAGGTTGCAGAGCTAGGGCTCAAGTTTGGCTCTGCAAGTTTCCAGTTTAATTCCATTTCTGTTTCCTCTTGCCCCACACCACAACTGACTTATCCTCTGATTGACTGATTGAGTCACTCATATAATAAATGTTTATTTATTGCCTTTAATGTGTTTGTGGATATAATAAGGAAAACCAGTCTTTGTCCTCGTGGAGGAAGGGAGACAGACAATAAATCAGCATAAAATTTCAGGTGAACCAGAGGGCTATAAGTAATAGAGCAGGAGAAGGGGGCTGCAGAATGGCAGGGATGGTGGGGGAAGAGCTCACTGGGAGTGATGTTTGAGTAGAGAGCTGGAAGAGGGGAACAGAAAGCTATCCAAGCTGTGTGAAGAGCACAGCTGCTGCAATCGAACAGGCAATTCGAATTATAGCTCTGCTAAGCTGTGTGATCTTGGGGAACCCCTCCAAGATTCGGTTTCCTGATCTATAAAATGCAAGTAATGGTAACGAATTCCACATTATTGTGTGAGAACTGAATAAACGACATTTACAAAGTGCCTAGCCCAGTGGCCTGACACAAGGTGGGCACTCAAAACATGGCAATTGACACAATGATGATATATCATAATAGACAGCATTCACGGCCCACTTTCATGAAGATGCTCCTGATGACTGTGGCCTTTCTAAACTCTTGCCAGTGTCCCTGTCAGTAGCAAACATTTATATCCTGTACCTCATCGCTCACTGCATTGTCCTGCTCTAGGTTCTTTTTTATGAAGTTAAGTGGTATCCCCAAGTTTGTTCTATACAGAGGGTAACATATGTGGTGGGATCTATGGCTATGGGCTTGCATAAGTCTGTCCCCATAGTTTTGTGCTACCTGGGAGCCCTGCAAGTAAGAACTTGAAAGAAGCTCCCAGAGAAAGAAAGAATCAAGAGAGAGACTGCTGTGAAAAGTTACAGGCTGGGTTTGCAGTGATGCCTCTTTAATCCAATATCAGTTAGCTAAAAAAGAAGACACCATTCAAAGATTCTGGATCCTGCCCCCTGTGGGGGAGGATAACAAATATTTCAAAGGATAATGAAATGTACCTGTGTTATTCAAACTTCAATTAATCATGTCTCCTTTTTTTGTTGTTGTTGGGGGTCATGTCCATCTGTCACAATTTACTAAATAGTTTTCTTTAAGTGTACACACTTTAACTTAAAATATAATTAAAAGAAAGTTTTATATAATGTGGGTTTGATGACCTACTTGTACTAATCTAATATCAATTAAAAGATAGAACAATTCAAGTTGTCTATGTACTACCTACAATCAAATGCTATGCACTGGTCCAAGTAGGTCAGTAAACAGAGGAACTTGAAGCATTAAGAAGAACTTGATGAACAGATGGAGACTGGGAAAATCAGTCACCAGCTTTGTTAGGACTGCAAACAAGCTATTACTTTAGTGAGAAGTGTGTGTGTGTGTGTTTCCAAATGATTAGTGAGAAGTTTTAAAGCCAAAGAATTTTAAGGGCAAGGGCCTGAATTACTTGAATTTACAAAATCTTACTAAGATTTTCATTTTTTAAAAGATGAATTTCTCTCCTCTGACTGCTTGCACAGCTTTGGGTTTCTCTCCCTCTGCAGGCAAAGCTCTGGCTCCACTTTATAATGTGGGAGGTTGGGGAATGTCTACCCAGGTTTGAACTTCTCCTCCTCTGCTTTTTTGCTTCTTTCTCTGCATGCCCCCTGGACTGTCCAAGTCCTGACTATTCTCTGAAAAGATCCTATTCCATTACACTCTTTGACTCTACCTCTTCAGAACCTTCACTTAACCTTGGAAAAACAAGCTAAAGGTCAAGGTATCAGTGTAGGGTGTATTGTTTCCTTTCTAGTAGCCAGTTTGGCAGATTTGGGACCACCGACCCCTATTGCTAGATATCTCTAGGACCTTTGTAATGTTTTTAAAATTGGCTTATTACATTTTCTGGTTTAAGATTAATTTTCACTAACTAGAACATTTCGCCAAAAATCCAGTCATTTTTTTTTTTTTAAGCAAGACACTGTTGAATTCAAATGATAGTTAATTGACAACAAATGTTTTCTGTGGTGAGAACAAATCTTCAGCAGCACTAACAGCTAACTTATAACAGCTAATTAGTGAATATTAACATATCTTCTTTGTGAAGAAGATGAGCACCGTAAATCCTTAGGGAGCTACTCCTGTCTGTATCCTTTAGACTTTATAAGCATTTCTTAGTTGGAGGCATTAGGTACTCACTGTTCTGCTTGGAATTTGCTATTTCTCAGAATGGTAATGCTTCATGTTTATCCCTCTAGCAACTTAATTTCTATTTGCAGTTCAAACAATTAGAAATGAATGTCTGGAGCACCTTGCTTCCTTCTAAAGAGAATGGTAGCAGCACATTTGTAGCTAATGACCACTTGCTCTGGCTTCACCCTCCATGCCAAGAACACTGTACAGTTCTGGGCTCTCGCAGGAGCATGTATTTGGCCTATGGAAGGCCAGAATTGAGAAATCTGGAGCCATTTTGGTAGGATCATCTGGATTCAGGTCAACCCCATTCCAGGTTCATTCTGACTGTTGGACAGGACTATGAGGCTTCTACAGCCTGTCCTGAATCACATGAAGTAGGCAGAATTCTCTCAGATTCCTCTGAGCTGCATGGGTTCTTTTTCATCTCCCCAATTCTATTTTTTTTAACAAACATCTCCCCCTGATTCCTATGGAGGAGTTAACCATAGCTTACCCTGTCTCGGGAATCCTCTATGATTCTGTTACACCACTATAGGTATTTTTACTACCCCTTTACATTTCCTGATATTTCTGCCTCCTTAGGTGGAAGATCCCTTCACCCCCATTACAGACAAACGAATTACTTACTTGGTTCCACAGTCAGTTGGGTTCCTTGTCCGAAGATGAGCTTATCTGTGGCACAGCTGTTGAGCGTGTTCCAAAAACCTCAGCAATGCTCCCACCTTTCTTCTTCCTGTGAGTTTTGGGGTGGGAGGGTCTTTCTTGCTCAGTTCCTTGAAAGATGGCACTTGTCTACTCAACTGATTCATGATAATTTAACAACTGTAGATAGGAGTAGGGAAGCTTGCGGGAGGCTGTTGTCTGTGGAGTAGGTGGGAACACATATTCCTGTGGTATATACCTACAAGGTTGTCTCAGCTGTAACTTTCTATTGTTTTAGATTGTTCATATTTCCTAGATCCATTCGTAACTCAGCCTTGGAAAGATGGCTCCATCAAAGTGGTAGGTCTTGGGTCCATGACTACTCCAGAGACAAGGCCTTTACAATCACTATGTAATGGGGTTTTAAGGTTGAATAATGTGTGACACAACAAAGGGATAGGAAGTACTGGCAGGTGTGGGTGAATCTGAGCACAATCCGCTTTAGGACAACCAAGTGTAGCTGGTGACTGTCTACAAACAAATCACCTTCAAATCTACCTTCTCAGATTGCAAAAGCAAACACTTGGGCAAATCTCTCTAGAGACTTGGGCTTAGAAATCCCATAGAAAATGCCTATGTGCATCTTTTTTTTATTAATAGAATCAACATGAAAGCATGACAAGGATCGTTTTTACACAAACACCTTTCTATACTCCCCACATGTGCTGAAATACCATTTTCACCCAGGGAACTGCTGTCCCCAGAGCTGCGTTATTTCCCTCACCACCCTGGGCTGCAGAGCAAGGAGAGAAGGCTTCCTGCTGTGCTCACCCCCTGTGGCACCAGATCCAGGCTGAAGATTTCTCAGGCAAATGATGTTTTTGGCCCTGGGGTTTTTGTACAGGTGTCTGTGGGTTTTGTAACACTGTGAGTATCCCACCGATCACAGTACTACAGAGCTTTACAAAATCCTCCCCTGGCTTCTCACTGTAGGCTTCTGAGAACCCGTAGTGCCGGATGTTTTCTGCAAGTCGAGCTCCAGCGAGATGAAAGGGTTTGGTGGTTAGGTCAGGCCAAGCTGGTCCAGGTGTTTCTGTCTGAGGCTCTTCTGTCCTGCTGGCTACATCCGCCCTGGGGTCAGTGACTAGAATGGACTTTTAGAAATCATCACGTCCACTCCCCTCTGTGCTTTCTGGCCAGTCTTCCCTCAAATGGCTTCCCGCAGAGGAGTCTGTCAGATATCTGAATGTCTCGTGTATTCCATGCGCTGTGGGTTAGGCAGAAGAGGTCTGTGGTCAATGTAATTCCTCCTGTCACTTGCTAAGCTTCCAAATCACCTCTGCCCACCCCGCTTTACACCTGAATAGTGTTATACAGTCTACAAAGGGCTTTCATGTAAATTAAATTTTCATCCTCTCCATTGACCTCCCAGTTGCTTAATTCAGGGCCAGGAGCCCACATGGTGCTTTATGCGATTTAGAAAAGGCAACCTGCAGGGCAAATGCAGAGGCAGCCCTTTGGTTTCAAGCTTGGCAAACAGATCACACTTTTCTGGGCTTTATAAAAGGCACTGCTCTCTCCAGAGGATGCTGCTCTGCTCCAGGGCTTCAGCTACTCAGGCAGAACATGAACTGAATTTCAGCCCCACTCATCCCCCTGAACAAGTGCCCTTATGCAGGATGCAACCTGAGCAAGACAGGCAGTGGTTCTGGCTAAACCAAACTGACACCTTTACTCACATTCTTACTTGACTTCTGATTTTTGACCCAGTCATGCCCTTCTGGAAACCTTTCCTCCAGGCTCTCAAACACTCATCTTCTTTGCTGTTGATCTCTATGACAATCACTATGCAAACAAGATAACACAATAGGTTCATTGAAAGTGACCTTATTAAATGTTAGCCATTAAAAGAGAGTGTGAGTTTTGTTGTTGCTGCTTATCAAAAGGAACCAGGATTGAAAACAGTGTGTATTCACACTTTCCCTGGAGGTCTTGGCCAAATCCATGGTTTGATTTCTGTATCACTGCTTCACTTAGGATCTTTCTGATGACCCCTGTCCACCTGACATGCAATTGCATGCCTTCCGCATAAACTCTAAGCAACTTCATCTCTACATATGAACTCTAACATTCTTTTGATGATTAAAAAGCTTGGAAAAGAAGAAATGTTACTGTTTCTATAACAAGGTAACAGGAGATGGCTTCAGGCAGAAAGCAGGAAAATGTGGCTGTCATGGGGAGGCCGGTTGAGAATAAAGAATTGTAACTTAGACTCTTGACTGCAGCTGGTGTCAGGTGCTAGTTTTTGAAATGGCAAGAGGTGGGTGGTTACTGTGTTGAATAACAAATTAAGCTTCCAGTCAACCCATCTGACACTCACTGACTTCCTCCTGGTGCTGGTGTACAGAAGCAGTCATCAGAAACTGCCTTGAACAAAACTAGTTACAGGAAACAAAAAGTTAGGAACCCTGATAAAACTGTAGCTACTGTGGTTACCAACTCTTCACTCCCTCCCTATAATGGAAGAATGCATCCAAGTTCTTGGCCACATGACTTGGAAGGGCTTTCTGCTACAGGCGAAGCACATATCCCATTCTATTGACATTGGAGTTTTGCCATGCTTTGATTCATAGACTATGGATGTAAGTAACAGTGTTTCAGCTCCAAGCTGAGGCTCCAAGACATGTTCTATCATGGATTACTACCACTTCTAAGATAAGTATGCTTTAGGGAGTCATTGCTGCTTCAACCTGGGTCCTAGAAAAAAGGCACATAGAATGGATGTAACTCAACCCACACGTTGAAGCCAACCCCAGAATGTCTGTGAACCAATAAACAAAAGCAAAATATTAAGTAACTGAAATTTGGGATTACTTATTTTGTATGGTAACAGAAATAGCTGACTACTACCATATGGTGAGTCTTGGAAGTTTAATCTTGACATGCTTTCAATTCTATACTCCAATAATTATGAAATTGCAAGCTTAAAATTTTTGGTGGTTCTCCTCTATCTTCAGGATAAACCAGTATGAAACATAAGGTCTCGTTCCCATTGAACTACTCTCTTTCTGAATGTTGCATGTTCTTTCATACCTTTTGCCTGAAATGCCCTTTCCTTCTTCTGTCCCCAGTTGGCCCTGGGTCTTAGCTTAGCTGTTGATGTCCCTGTTGATGTCCCCAAAAGACTACCCAAGATTGGGACTGGAGGCATGACTCAAGCACAAGCCCCTGAATTTAATCCCTAGTACTGTAAATGGGATTAGGTTAGGTGCTTACCCTTCCCGGAATTTTTGTGATATTCAGTGCTTATTTGTATCACTGAATTAAAAACCCTTTTAAAATCTCTCCTTCATTAGGTAGAGGGGCCTGAGAGAAGGGATTTTTCTTTGTTATCTCTGTAAACCCTGTGCTGGCACAAGGCCTGACTCAGTGAGTGAAAGTGTCTGAATCCTTCATAGGGATGTGGTATTTCAGGATCAGAAAGGACAAGTTAGGGAGTGACATCGCTATGGCCAGATTGTCTCATGTTTTCTGAACTCCTAGTTCCTTCCTTACTCTCTGACTCTAGGCCTGCAGTATTGTGTACTACCTTATATATGTTTAGTGGTGCATGGCACCGTTAGTTGTAAACAAAGTGATTTTTTTAATTTAATTTTTATTGTTTTATTATTCATATGTGCATACAATGCTTGGGTCATTTCTCCCCCCTGCCCCCATCCCCTCCCTTACCACCCACCCTGTCCCCTCCCTCTCCCCCAGACTCCCTCAATACCCAGCAGAAACTATTTTGCTCTTCTCTCTAATTTAAACAAAGTGATTTTTAACATTAGCCTGGGTTAGGGATCACTGGGAAGATTAATTTGTTGTGATTTGCTCCACCCCGTGTAACATATTCTAAAGCCAAATAAAAATGAGCTTCACATTGTCTACATATTTGGAGTACTCAAGTCACATTCTCTTCCACTAACATGGGCAATCAAAGATCAATTGTGCCTCTGCAAAGGAATCCTAGAATGTCATAGGTGGGAGACATCAAAAGGATCATATTCAGATGAGAGAATCTAGAAAGATCCAGAGGGGCCTTACAACTTGGCCAGGGTACCCAATTTCAAAAGAATATACAAGAAATCAGGTATCTATATCCCAGAACAATGATCATTTTAATGCACTTGGCAAATACACAGACTTATTTGATCTTTTCTTCAGGCATTTATGATTTGAAGGTATTTCAGTCACCTACTTGATCTTCTCTGGATGATATCTGCCATGGACCTAGAGAGAAATGGGAGGGAGTGTGCATTGAAAAGAAAGACTCGGAGTCTGCATGAAATTTGGGGAAGCTGGGGATCTGAGAAAGGACTCAGACCCAGAGTGTCCACTCCCTCAGTATTTATTGAGTTGCTGTGTATAGTTATTGATCATGAAGCATATGTGGTTTAATAGTTAACTTCTGGGTAAAATCGGGTATGTTTTTAAACTTCTGTGCTCTGAAAAATAGCACGTAACACTATTGAATGCTAGGACAATCATGCGTGCAAGGAATTCATGATTCTTAGAACAATGCTGGGAGAATACTGTTTTCAGTATCACATCCCATGTCCAGATACTCAGTCTTCCAAGTAATCTGGCTGTAAGTTCGTGAACTTCTGATATTCATTACACCACATGGTCTCCAACAGATACCCATTCCTAGGGTAGTCTGAGCAACTTGGCCTTTGCTTTTTCCCTGCGGTTTTTCACTGTTACATGAGATGCTCTTCTGAGGGAAAGGGGAGGGGCAGTCACAGGGTGCATGTATCCTGAAGTTAAGCTTTTCCTGGAAGGAGGATAGGCAGTTCTCAGTGCCAGGAAGAGACATCGTGCGGGGACTGGATTTACCATGGCACTGTGCAGTTACGCTGGGCATCAGGCTTTGTGCTTGGAAATTCAGAGATACTGGAGCAAATTTATGGGATACCAAGCCAAAAAATGAAATTGGATTGGACAGACAATTGTCTTGAAATATTTGGGATTATAGACTTTAAACCAGTGTTATTTGTCACTGTCCCCTGCTCCTGGTATTAACATTTATAGTTTGAGGATTGTAGACAAACTGCAGTATATTTAATGGAGGAACATACTGTTTAAAAGAATTCAAACCATGTCTAGGAAGGAATAGCCGAAAAAACATGGAGGGAGTGTAGCTCAAAGGAAGGAAGATACTAGGGATATTTGATCATAGTCTTCAGACATCCGCCAGGGAAGAGCTGGCTTATCAGAAGACAGCTGGATTTTCATGTGTGTTTGTGCATTCGATTGCAATTTGTTGGTTTGGTTGAAATGTTTGAGAAAAATTTGACCTTATATAGATATACATAGTTTAAAAAGGGGTGTCTTAACATCCTTCCTAAAAATAATGGATAGTGCAGTTTATTTATTTATTGGCAGAGCTGGGGTTTGAACTCAGGGCTTCCCATGTGCTAGGCATGCATTTTACCTCTTGAGCCATGCCTCTACTCCTTTTTGCTATGGTTATTTCTGAGACAGGTTCTTGTTTTTTGTCCAGGCTGGCCTGGACCATGAGTCTCCTATTTTATGCACACTGCTGTAGCTGGGATGACGGGTGCATGCTACCATGCCCAGCTATTGCTTGAGATGGGGGTCCCATGAACTGTTTGCCTGAGTTGGCCTGGAACCATAATCCTTCTGATCTCAGCCTCTCAAGTAGCTAGGATGACAGGTGTGAGCCACCAGTGCCCAGCTTGTAGTCTTGATACTACACAAAAATTTGACAAGAAGTTAGTTGCGATATGGTACCTGAAGCCACGCTAATGATTTTACCATGTTCTGTCACATTAGACACTGGCCTCTTGAAGTTTGGGTGGAATTGTCACCCATGCATGGTTTTGTAACATTGTCCACTGATCATTTCTCATTTGTTTCATTGAGTTAAGTAGTTTCCACAGGCTGACACATTTTATTATGTAATATCGAAATATCACAGTAGGTAATGTCACCACCATCACTATCTTTAAATCAGAAAAGTGTTTAAATATCGGGAAGCCATCTAACTTATAGTGGCAAATATAAATTTTCTAAAACTCCTAATTTTTGCCTGAAAGCTTAGATTTTTATCATCAGCTACAACTATTAGTTATTTTTCTTGATGTGACCAGATCAGTTTATTCATTTTCAAGAAGATGCCTGAGTCTGAAGAGCTACAGTTGTTGGTCATCAATCTTTCAAATAAGAATGGTGTTTCATGGAGAATGTAGCTAGTTCAGCTTACAACTCAGACAACTCAAAAATGTTTCTCCTTGATATAACAATCAATCCAGTGATATAATTTGAGATGTTTCAAAAGCTCTTTATATGTACTTCCAATTTCATCACACAGAGTACTAAAAGGACATAATCAAGGGTTGAGATCTAATAAAAGTAATGGTTTCATTGATTCATCAGTGTTATAGGATGTGTGGTGTTCACACCTATCCCATTCATATGTTGAAGTCCTAACTTCAGAATGTGACTGTATTTGGAGGTAGGGCCTTTACAAAGGTTAAGTTAAAATGAGGCCGTTAGGGTAAGCCCTAACCTAATGTGACTGGTGTCCATATAAGAGGAGACGATGTGGACATACAAAGAGATAAGACCCCAGGAATGTGTAGACACAGAGGAAAGACCATGTGAGGACAGAGCAAGAAACTATCTGCAAATCAAGGTGAGAAGCCTCAGAATAAATCAACCCTGCCAACACCTTGATCTTAGACTTTTAGTCTCTAGAATAGTAAGAAAATAAATTTCTGTTGTTATAACCACCCTGTCTATGGTATTCTATTATAGCAGCCTGAGCAGACTAATGCAGGGCCCTAATTTATAACCGTGCGACACACCAAAACACACAGATTTAGAGAGAGAGAGAGAGAGAAGAGCCCTAGTAAACTAATATAGTTAATAATATTTCTTTTGGTGGTGCTGGGGTTTGAACTCAGGGCCTCACACTTGCTATGCAGGTACTCTACCATTTGAGCCATTCTTCCAGAAGTTAATAACATTTTTATTGAAACTGTTTTCTTCTTCCTGCAACTATGTGGCAGTGAAGAATATAATAGGGTCAACACAGGACTGATGCACTCACTGATGGACTGCATTAGTTTATACTAAGGCAGCAGAAGCCTTACCCACTATTTCTTTTGCACACTCATGTTTTGGTGTTCTTAAGAAAATAGCTGACTTTATGGACTCCCTGAAAAGGTCTTGGGACTCCCCTAGAGGTTCATGGGCCATACTTGGAGAACTACTGCCTTAATTCTATGTTCTTTGTGCTGCCAAAGATGCAGAGATACTTCTGTCTACCTCTACTGCTTCACCACATGCTACCTGCTTGCTAGCGATCCACAGATCACTTGCGTCACATACAAAGCTCAATGATGCAAGAGATCAGAAGTCATTTTGAGTGACAGCTCTCCAGTTCCGTAGAAATGATAAAATTGAACCGCATGTTGGTTAAGGACCATGAATGTACATGTATCTACCTGATTTGATTTCCCTGGTGGTATGCTAGGGGCCAGGCACTGGGTCTGTGATGACTGCTTTTGGTGATGAAAGAGTTCTCAGTGATAATCTGAGTCTGAATACATCATCTGCAGTATGCTCTACATTTCTGTGGCAATACTTCAATATTTTCACTAAAAATGTCACTTACTTAAGTGACAGGCAATTATAACTGAAACTTGAGTACTTTGCAAAACCATAAAGAGGAAGAATGAACCAATGTGGCTTATATGGTTAATGGGGCAAATAATACACTTAGCAGCTGAATATGAATTCAAAGGAGCTACGAGACCCATATAAGTCTGTAAGAATGGTGAAAACCTAGTTAGTTATCCTCTTGTGGGGGATTTGGACACACATTGGTTTTGTCAAACCTTCTCTTAGCATTTCTATGCTGCCTGCACACCTGAAGAAGTAAACTTGACCGTCAGCTGGTTGGAGTGCATTGGTGCTGTACAAGTCTGGAAGGCCTCCCACCCCAGCTTCTACCACAAGTGAACCCACGACTGGATTTTGAGCTATTATCTTTATCTCAGGTCTTGAAAGTCAATGATTTTAAGACACCCTAGTTATGGTTATGTCTTGAAAAAGCATCATAGGAATCAAAGATGTGTAGCATTATCATCAATTACTTTCTTATTCACACATGCTGTCATACTGTGTTGTGAGTGACAAGAGTTCATTATTGTGTTAGAAATATGTCATGTGAACATTCCGTTTCAATTTGTTCTAATCCTACAGATTCAGGAAATTCTTTGAGCAGAGCTGTATTCTTTAAGAAAGCATGTGAATTTTCAAGAAACATTTTATGTCATTTTTTTATTAAGTTTTCTGTAGACTTAGGCCACTTAAAATGAGAATTTAAGAAAACATTTTATTATAAAAATTTTGAAATATCCAAAAAAGAAATTAGTGGAGTAAATATCTGTAGAATGATCATCTAGATTAAATATTTATTAATATTTGCTATATTTTCTATTTATTTTGCACAAATATTTAAAAATAAATTATAATTATCATAATTCACTCATAAATACTTCAACATATATGCATTAAAAAACAGAAATATTTTTCTAACTACAATTTTAATTCCCACCAACAAAATTAATAAAAACTCCCTAAAATCATTTAAAAGCCAGCCTATTGTCAAATTTGCCCGATTCTCCCCAAAATATTTTTTACAGACGGTTTTTTAAAAATGAAGATCCATTTAAAGACAATGTATTTCAATTGGCAAAGTGGTTACATATTTTAAGTCTCTTTAATTTCATTTTTAAACTGTTCTCATGGATTTCCTTTCTCCTGTGCTTTTTTTTTTCTTTTCATGACATTGATTGTTGGAAGGACTGTTGTCTTGTAGAACACTTCACTGTATTTGTTCATTTAACTTTACCACAATGAAATACCCAAGGCTGGGAACTTTATAAAGCAAAGAGATTTATTTAGTTCACAGTTTTAGAGGCAGAAAGTCCAAATGGCATGGTGCTGGTTCTGTGAGGGCCGTTTGTGTCACATCATGGCAAATGGCAAATGGCAGAAGAGCTTGTATGAAGGAGAGATCACGTGATGAGACAGAACGCCAGAGGAGACCAAGAAGGAGCCAGGGCTTGTGCTTTGATAACAACCTTCTTGCAAGAACTAACCAGGGTCCCATGAAAACCACATTGATTCCTTCCTGAAGGCAGGGCTTCAATAACCTAATTATTTGCCACTGGGCTCCACTTCTTAAAGATGC